TTTTTTTTTTTTTTTTAATGTCCAGAGGACCAGATTGAACTTTTTTGGAGTAAATAAAAAACATCTGTTAGACTGACTTTACTGAAGGCTGCTGTCTGCAGGTGTAGCAGGGTCTGAATGGTCTCCAGAATGGGCCCACAGACACAAGAGGCAGTAGTCTGGGCTCTGCCCGTTTAGTGCACCATTCAAACAACAAGAGGCACAAACCAGTGGACACAGCAGATACAACTCCCATCACAGAAAATCCCAGCAGACGGTGCATCTCAGCTGTGTTGTTCATACACTTAAAGTAAATCAAATTGTGAGGGAGTCAGGCAGTGTGCTGTTTGTGGGAATCAGTTTGTTTGGTGGCTCCTTAGATTGAAGAAGTCCTTTGGATGAAGGACGCAAGGTCTCATGATTTAGGCTGCGTTCACAGCAGCCCTGTTTAGTCGCTTTAATCCAACTCTAGCTCGTTTTCCTAGAAAGTCCGGTTCGTTTAGGGAGGTGTGAACGCACCATCGAACTCTGTCACGGAACAAAAAGGTGAACTCTGGCCCGGGCTAAAACCTAGGTCTGGGTCCGGTAGAAGAGAACTCCAGCACGGTTCCAGTACAGTGTGAATGTAAACAGACCGGACCCGCTCCACAGGACAAACAAACACACATTTCTCTCATATGGAGCCGTCAGCTGACTTGTGTGAAGAACAATATTCTCCATGGTCTTCTGTCTCATCTTCTGCTCATGCTGAGTCCATGGTTGAAAAATGACAAAATATAACTCCTAAAACTGATAAAACTTGATGCCACTTCGTTTTTATTTTTATTTACAGAAGAAGAAGAAGACGTGTCTTCAGAGGTTTTTGTGTCGTTTCTTTCAGTAGTTCTTGGTGCAGCGCCCCCACAGGCGAGCAGGGGAACAGGTTGGTTCAACAGGTTGGTTCAACAGATTGGTTCAACAGGTTGGTTCAACTGGTTGGTTCAACTGGTTGGTTCAACAGGTTGGTTCAACTGGTTGCTTCAACAGGTTGGTTCAACAGGTTGGTTCAACAGGTTGGTTCAACTGGTTGGTTCAACTGGTTGGTTCAACAGGTTGGTTCAACTGGTTGGTTCAACAGGTTGGTTCAACTGGTTGGTTCAACAGGTTGGTTCAACTGGTTGGTTCAACTGGTTGGTTCAACAGGCTGGTTCAACAGGTTGGCTCAACAGGTTGGTTCAACAGGTTGGTTGAACTGGTTGGTTCAACAGGCTGGTTCAACAGGTTGGCTCAACAGGTTGGTTCAACTGGTTGGTTCAACTGGTTGGTTCAACAGGTTGGTTCAACAGGTTGGTTCAACAGGTTGGTTCAACAGGTTGGTTCAACTGGTTGGTTCAACAGGTTGGTTCAACTGGTTGGTTCAACTGATTGGCTCAACAGGTTGATTCAACTGGTTGGTTCAACAGGTTGGTTCAACAGGTTGGTTCAACTGGTTGGTTCAACTGATTGGCTCAACAGGTTGGTTCAACAGGTTGGTTCAACAGGTTGGCTCAACAGGTTGGTTCAACTGGTTGGTTCAACTGATTGGCTCAACAGGTTGGTTCAACAGGTTGGTTCAACAGGTTGGTTCAACAGGTTGGTTCAACAGGTTGCTTCAACAGGTTGGTTCAACTGGTTGGTTCAACAGGTTGGTTCAACAGGTTGGTTCAACAGGTTGACTCGACTGCACAGCGCAGTGTGAATGCAAACGCACCAGCTCAAATGTAACAAAACCTCATGAATATTGGTCCTGAACCGAACCGAGTCTACCGGACTATCTGGTGTGAAAACGACCTAAAAGAAACTGTCCAGATGACCTGGCTGAACTTTGTTGGATTACCTGGATTATTGAGCATGAACTTTTGGTGAATTTTTGTTTTATTTTTCCTTTAATTCTAAGGTTAAATGTTTGTTTCTGTATCATGTGATAAAATATATTTTATAAACCCCTGGGGGAAATAAGATGTTAAAAAAGAAAGACAGGCTAATTAAAGCCATCCATCCATCCTTCATCTTTTACCCGCTTCTTTCATTTTGGGTCACGAGGGTTGCCACTGCCCATGTTCAGCAGTCACTGTGCGAGAGGCAAGGGGACACCTGGACAGGTCTCCAGTCCATCACATGGACACCTGGAGACAAACAACCACTCTCTCTCACCTAGGGACAATTTAGAGTTACCTATCAGTCTAACATGCATGTTTTTGGTCTGTGGGAGGAAACTGGAGTACCTGGAGAAAACCCACGCAGCACGGAGAGAACATGCAAACTCCACCCAGAAAGACCCCCGGACCGGTATTTGAACCAGGGACCTGCTCGCTGAGAGGCAGCAGCTCTACCAGTTGTGCCACCGTGCTGCCAAGTTAAATTAATATTTTTGTATACAGGTCCTTGTCAAAAAATTAGCATATTGTGATAAAGGTCATTATTTTCCATAATGTAATGATAAAAATGAAACTTTCATATATTTCACATTCATTGCACACCAACTGAAATATTTCAGGTCTTTAATTGTTTTAATACTGATGATTATGGCATACAGCTCATGAAAACCCAAAATGCCTGTCCCAAAAAATGAGCATATCATGAAAAGGTTCTCTAAACAAGCTATTAACCTAACCATCTGAATCAACAACGTAACTCTAAACACCTGCAAAAGATTCCTGAGGCTTTTAAAAACTCCCAGCCTTGTTCATTACTCAAAACCACAATCATGGGTAAGACTGCCGACCTGACTGCTGTCCAGAAGGCCATCATTGACACCCTCAAGCAAGAGGGTAAGACACAGAAAGAAATTGCTGAAGGAATAGGCTGTTCCCAGAGTGCTGTATCAAGGCACCTCAGTGGGAAGTCTGTGGGAAGGGAAAAGTGTGGCAGAAAACGCTGCACAACGAGAAGAGGTGACCGGACCCTGAGGAGGATTGTGGAGAAGGGCCGATTCCAGAGATTGGGGGACCTGCAGAAGCAGTGGACTGAGTCTGGAGTAGAAACATCCAGAGCCACCGTGCACAGGCGTGTGCAGGAAATGGGCTACAGGTGCTGCATTCCCCAGGTCAAGCCACTTTTGAACCAGAAACAGTGACAGAAGCGCCTGACCCTGGGCTACAGAGAAGCAGCACTGGACTGTTGCTCAGTGGTCCAAAGTACTTTTTTCGGATGAAAGCAAATTTTGCATGTCATTCGGAAATCAAGGTGCCAGAGTCTGGAGGAAGACTGGGGAGAAGGAAATGCCAAAATGCCAGAAGTCCAGTGTGAAGCACCCACAGTCAGTGATGGTCTGGGTGTCATGTCAGCTGCTGGTGTTGGTCCACTGTGTTTTATCAAGGGCAGGGTCAATGCAGCTAGCTATCAGGAGATTTTGGAGCACTTCATGCTTCCATCTGCTGAAAAGCTTTATGGAGATGAAGATTTCATTTTTCAGCACGACCTGGCACCTGCTCACAGTGCCAAAACCACTGGTAACTGGTTTACTGACCATGGTATTACTGTGCTCAATTGGCCTGCCAACTCTCCTGACCTGAACCCCAGAGAGAACCTGTGGGATATTGTGAAGAGAAAGTTGAGAGGCGCAAGACCCAACACTCTGGATGAGCTTAAGGCCGCTATCGAAGCATCCTGGGCCTCCAGAACACCTCAGCAGTGCCACAGGCTGATTGCCTCCATGCCACGCCGCATTGAAGCAGTCATTCATGCAAAAGGATTCCCGACCAAGTATTGAGTGCATAACTGAACATGATTATTTGAAGGTTGGTGTTTTTTGTATTAAAAACACTTGTCTTTCATTGGTGGGATGAAATATGCTAATTTTTGGGACAGGCATTTTGGGTTTTCATGAGCTGTATGCCATAATCATCAGTATTAAAACAATTAAAGACCTGAAATATTTCAGTTGGTGTGCAATGAATCTGAAATATATGAAAGTTTCATTTTTATCATTACATTATGGAAAATAATGACCTTTATCACAATATGCTCATTTTTTTAGAAGGACCTGTAAATACTTTACACAAGACATTTGAACAACATGGTAATTTATTTTTCATTTATATATTATTATATAAAATTGAAAAAGCTTATAAGAATTGACTTTGTGGCAAAAGTTTTATTAAATCAGCTTGTACGTAAAGTATAACAGTACTTATATTTAAATACTGTACAAGAGCTGTAACATTAATGCAGCCGTTCTTCATAAACTTTATATCTGACTGTTCAAAGCAGTCGAGTGTTGATGAGGTTCTTCAGGATGTGATGGTCTTCACACTGACAGCAGGTCTGGAAGGATTTGAACACCCGTCAAGTGGATTCCTAAAACCGCTCGAGTTTGTCTTGGTGCATCTGTGTGTCAGGAAGTCAGCTGATCGTTGTGCTGTCTGCAGGTGTGTCCACCTGGACCAAGACGTCCACCTGTTGGTTGTTTCTCTGCTCAGTGTGGATAGTCAGACCTCTGCAGCATTTGCTATAGAGCATGTGAGATCATGACCACAAGCAGAGTGCACATATACCTCCCTGCACATCTGTCTACATGCACATATACCTCCCTGCACATCTGTCTACATGCACATGTATCTATGTAGTATGACATATCCTGAGATATATTCATACATTAAACGGGTTCACTCATCTTTCTGGACTGGATAAAACGTGCATTGAATTTAATGAAATGTAACGTGAGACGTCATTTTTCTTTGACCCATCAAAATGAATGCGGTCATTTATTTTACAGAATCAAAGTTTAACATCAAACATTTACATTAATTTGGCAGAATATGAAAACAACAACATAATTAATCAGCTTTTACAACCAGGAAACCATACGGCCATGGTTTTCCGTTGCTTTACCACAGACATTAATGAAAACATCTGGATTAATTTTCTAGCAGAAAGGAGAGTTTAAAGATGGAAAATTGAGATTTATCTTACAGAGAGATGTGTGAGGGAATTTATCTGTTTTAACCAGAACGTGCACGCTCCTTCGGAACTCAGCTTGTCCCAAACAGTACACTTTTGGTGAAGGTCGACTTTTACCTTTTCTGAAGATAGATCAGTTCCGGCGTGGAGTCTCACTTCCAACCACTGTTCAGCGTCTCAGTGAGAACAGCCAAATACCTAGAGAGCCATGCGAGGTTATCCAAACAGAAGTTATAATTCCCAAAATCGTCTCTGGTTCAGCTTGTTTGTCTTAGCAGCATCCATGAATGCCTGCGGTTGCATTCACGGACTCCCAAAACTCTCTGCACTCTGGATTCCAAAACTCTTGAACTCTACTTTGAACTAGGAAGTGCCGATATTTAAATGGGCTCCACTTCCGGTTCGTTTGAGAGCCTCTGATTGGTGGATGGACCAGAACAGAGGTGTGGTTTGTGATGTAAGGTGTTATGGAAAGTCAAGGATAGAGATTAAGATTGTTTAAGAACAGACAGAAAGATTGTTGGAGAAAACCAGTCTTCGTGGTGCCACCTCTCCTGCATCTTGCTGTAAAAGTTAAACATGACATTTCTTTTCAGTAAACTTTCTAGTTGACCGAAGCTTGAACTTTAACACACTTACAACTTTGCTCATTGAAGACAGAAAATCAAGAAATGCATATTAACCTGATTTCTTCTTTGAATGAGGATTAAGGATCATTATTTACTGTTCCACAGTTAATAAAAATGAGTAGTTCACTTCAACATGTAAACATTGTTTGAACTAACACAATTTGATTATCAAAACATTTGTAAAATAGTAATGATCATAGAGAATTGTCTTTTTCCACTTGATTAATTCAAGAAAGAAAGTCTCAGGATGGGTCTAAACTGTATTTCTGGATTCAAATCAATGAAATGACAGTTTCTGACCATATGATCCTAAGGTCATTGATTTGACATCAGGTCAAGTTCACTACATCTACATGCATCTTTCTGGAAAAAACACCTCCCTCTGCTTTTCTCGGCAGTTTAACCCTCTCTACTTGAATATCTTGCACCAAAACATTTAGTTTTACTTCATTCTCTGTTCAGTTTCAGCCCAGAAGAACACTTACCTCCAAAACTACAAATGAATCCCTCGGTGACGGGGACATGGGCGTGCTGCTCGTCTTTAACTTAAACTGCTGATGGTTCATTTCATCCAGGGAGACTTGTTCAACACGTTTCCTCTGTCTGAAGATCAAACTAAAAGTCTGCTTCAACTTCCTGTGTGTGTGTGTGTGTGTGTGTGTGTGTGTGTGTGTGTGTGCGCGTTTTGCAGGTGTGTGTCACAGTGTGCCAGTGTCTGAGATCATCTCTGTCAGAGAGGAAGAGGAGGAGAACGGCAGCAGACAAGAAGATGATGATGATGATGGCAGCTGGAAGAAGATCAGAGAGGGTGGAGGAAAGGTCTGCAGGCAGTCCTTCACAGGTGAACATGTGTGGAAGAAGAATGGGGATGGGGGGGGGGGGCACATTTATTCATAATTATGAGAACAATAAGTCATCAGTATAGAGTGTGAGTGGATTCACAGAATTAGACTGATCAGCTGCTCTCTCCAGAGCATAGCCACATCCTGACGTCACGTCAGACTGACCAAACTATTGCAGCTCCAGATGGACTTTTCTGTTTCACTTCTTTGACCAGAACCTTGAGCTTGGGAGGACACTAACATCGTGTCTTTAATGAGCTAGTCTCATCGTGTGTTCTGCACATGGACAAAGAAAAACACTAACGATCAAAAGTCTCGTTTAAACAAACATTAACTTCCAGCAGAGCTTCCTTTGACAAAACAATGGAAGGGTTCTCTCAAACTATAACAATAAAGTGATAAAGAAAATAACTACTGCTTATCAAAGTTTTTTTTATTTCTGTTAACACTTGTTTAAACAACCCCCACCCCAGCAAAGCCAAGAAAGAATCCTAAATTAAATTTTATGTTAAATTTTATGAGTTCAATAAATATCAAAGCATATAACAAACTCCATGCTCAATAATCATCATATTGATTTATTGTGTCTGACAGAAACTTGGCTACAACAGGAGGATTTTGTTGGTATAAATGAATCCACTCCTGTTAATTATTTAAATGTTCATGTTCCTAGAACAACTGGCCGAGGTGGAGGAGTAGCTTCTATTTTTCAGTCAGGATTATTGATTAATGCCAAACCAGTTATTAGTTATGATTCTTTTGAATCACTGTCCCTCAGTCTTTCTCATCCAAAATGGAAATCAGAAAAGCCACTTTTACTAGTTGTTATACATCGTCCACCAGGAGCTTACTCTCAGTTTTTGTCTGAATTCTCAGAATTATTAACTGACTTATTATTAAATACTGATAAAATCATCATAACGGGTGATTTCAATATTCATGTAGATGTTGAGAGTGATAGTTTAAGCACAGCCTTTAATAATTTAATAGACTCATTTGGTTTTACCCAAAACGTCCGCACATCTACTCATTCTTATCATCACACTCTTGATTTAGTTCTGACCTATGGTGTAGAGATTAAGGACTTGGTAATAGTTCCTCAAAATCCTGTTCTGTCCGACCATTTTTTAATAACCTTTGAGTTTACATTAAATGACTACACAGTCACTGAGAGTAAAGTTCATCTCAGCAGGTGCTCATCAGAAAATGCTGTAACCAAATTGAAACAGTCTCTTCCATCAATGTTTTCCTCTGTCTTGCAGAGTAATGCATCAGAGAACAGAGACTTAGATCACTTGTAGTTTATTCATAAAGCGCCAAATCACAACAAAGTTGTCTCAGGGACTTTACAGGAACATTCACATAAAAGCCAATTAGTAAAGTTCTCTATCTAAGAATCCAGCAGACAAGATGAATCTTGGCTTCGTTGCAGTCTCCCATCCTGAGCAAGCACAGTGGAGACAGTGGAAAGAAAAACTCCCTTTAACAGGAAGAAACCTCCAGCAGAACCAGGATCAGGACAAGAGACCATCTGCTTTGACCGGCTGGTTGAGAGGACAGGAAGGAGAGACAGACGAACACAGAATGGTAGGTCCAGGTATAGGTCCAGGTCCAGATATAGGTCCAGGTATAAGTCCAGGTCCAGGTGAACCTGAAAGACAAAAAGACACATGTTAGGGATCGAAAAAATAATTACAAATGTTGAGCAGAGTAAGTAAAGAAGCAGCAGAGTGAAAATTGTGGTCAGTTTGTCCTCCAGCAGTCTAAGCCTATAGCAGCATAACTAAGGGACAGCTCAGGAAACCCAAGCCGACCATAACTATAGGATTCATCAAAAAGGAAAGTCTTAAGCCTAGTTTTAAAACTGGACAATGTGTCAGCCTCACGGACAGAGATTGGAAGCTGGTTCCACAAGAGAGGAGCCTGAGAACTGAAAGATCTGCCTCCCATTCTGTTTTTGTAAACTCTAGGAACCACAAGTAAACCTGCAGCCTGAGAGTGAAGTGCTCTGTTAGTAAAACATGGAACAATAAGATCTGTAATATAAGATGGAGCTAGGTTGTTGAGAGCTTTGTAGGTCAGAAGTAAGATTTTGAATTCTATTCAGGATTTGACAGGGAGCCAATGGAGAGAAACTAAAACTGGAGAGAGATGATCTCTCCCAGTAACTCCAGTTAAGACTCTGGCAGCAGCATTTTGGATCAACTGAAGACGTTTTAAAGAAGTATTTGGACACCCAGATAATAAACCATTGCAATAGTCCAGTCTAGACGTGACAAATGCATGGACCAGTTTTTCTGCATCATCTTTAGATCAGATGTTTCTAATGTTAGTGATATTACGCAGGTGGAAGAAGGAGGTTCTAGTAACGTTTTTAATGTGGGGGATAAAAGACATGTCCTGATCAAAAATAACACCAAGATTTTTAACATTACAGCTGGAGGACAGATTAATGCATCTAAGGAGGGAGAAAGACTGAAACATTCATTCCTAAGGTGCTCAGGTCCAAAAACCAAAACCTCAGTCTTGTCTGTTCAACAGGAGAAAATTAAGGGTCATCCAGGTTTTTATGTCTTTAAGACATGCTTGTAGTCTAAGTAGCTGATATGATTCATTGGGTTTAATGGACAAATATAATTGTGTGTCATCAGCATAACAATGGAAATTTATCCCATGCTGTTTAATAACTTTACCTAATGGAAGCATATATAAAGTAAAGAGTATTTGCCCGAGCACTGAGCTCTGAGGAACTCCATGACTAACTTTGGTGTATGAAGAAGATTAATTATTTACATTTACAAACTAGACTCTATCAGATAGATATGATTGGATCATGGAGGGTCTGAAATTTTCATCTTAGGTGCATGTCCACTGTGAGAAACATAATCTAAAAAAAAAAATTCCAGAATTCACAGTGTATGATTTTTTTAAATAATTTTTTTGTTTGTTACTGCTGCAAATATTTGAACACCTGCCAAACAGCAACAGTTCTGGTCCTCAAAGACCTGTTAGTCCACCTCTAAAATGTCCACCTCCACTCCACTTATTATTCTAAATTAGAAGCACCTGTTTGAGGTCGTTAGCTGCATGAAGACACCGGTCCACCCCACACAGTCAGTAAGACTCCAACTACTAACATGGCTAAGACCAAAGAGCTGTCCAAAGACACCAGAGACAAAAATGTAGACCTCCACAAAGCTGGAAAGTGTTACAGGGCAATTGCCAAGCAGCTTGGTGGAAAAAAGATCAACTGTTGGAGCAATTATTAGAAAATGGAAGAAGCTAAACATGACTGTCAATCTCCCTCGGACTGGGGCTCCATGTAAGATCTCACCTCGTGGCGTATCAATGATCCTAAGAAAGGTGAGGAATCAGCCCAGAACTACACGGGAGGAGGAGATCAATGACCTGAAGAGAGCTGGCACCACTGTTTCCAAGGTTACTGTGGGGTAATACACTAAGACTTAGATTCACTTCCGGCGAGCTGATGGACGGCAGCTCCCTCCGGCTTCTCTGCAGTCTTTTATCATCAAACTGACCCGTTTTTTCGAACCGGACTAAAGTTGATCCCCCTTCCAACCGAATTCGGTGTTCAGTGACTCAGAGAGCCGGACGGGACCGTCCAAAAGTATATTTTGGTCCAGGACCGGCCGCCTCCACCCCACCCGTCACTCTGAGCGCACCCTGCCGGCCAGGTGACCCCTCGAGCTGGGGAGTCGTCGCACGAAGGTCCTATGTTTTTTTCTCTCTCTCTCTGGACCTCAACGATCTCTCATCTGGACCTTTGTGGTTCTACCTGGTTCCGACAAAAATCGCCGGGTGGTATTTCGCTGGTTTTCTGCTGGACTGGCCCTCGTGGTGTCTTCATTGGTGTGGGGGAAGTGTACCTGTGACCCTCGAACTGGACCAGAACCGAACTGAGTTGGCTGTGGGGGACTTTTGTCTTCAACAGAGCCGGTCTCAGCTTCAGTGAGCAGCCCGTTACTTTTAACGAAGGACTGTCCACCTCCGTGGAATCGCTGTGTTCACCTGGAGGAGACGCTCCGGTGCTTTGAAGCGCCGCCGGACCGGAGCAGAACTGGGCCAAGGACAACCTCAGCCTCTTCGTCTTTCATGCTGTGGAGTGCCGGAGCCGGACTGGAGCAGAACCGGACCGGACCAGTGTCGACTTCAGCCTCAGCCTCTCCGGTCAGTCTCGTTTTTCACCGGGGGTGCCTCTCGTGCTGTCGGGTGCGGAGGTGTCGTGCAGAGAAGCGGAGGAGCAGCGTGGAGGAACAGCGTGAAGGAGCAGGGCTGCGTGGTGCTCGAGAGAAGTTCGGAGTTTGTATCGGAGTTGCTGCAGGCCTCCATCCAAACTCACCTGGATAATAATTAATTTTATTCCGGATCACGTTGTTACTGCTCTCAGGGATTCAGCCCAACCCTGGACCCCCCACTATTTATATGACACCAAATGACTTTAAGAACGTGTCTGGGCTTCATTTTCTGCATGTAAACGCTCGTAGCCTTCTGAGAAAACTTGATGCCTTGAAAATTCTGGTCAGTTCTTCTGAGGCAGATGTAATCTTCATCTCTGAAACGTGGCTCAACAGATCTGTACTCAACAATGACCTGACAATCAATGGATTTAACATCTACGCTGTGATCGTCAAAAAAGGGGGGGTGGAGTCGCTATTTACATGAGAGATTCTCTGGTTTCTAGTCCTGTGTCTTCTAAAACAATTCCAAACCAAATTGATGCCTTAGCTGTAAACATCACTTTGAATGGAGGCCAGACCTTATCTGTAGTCTGTTGTTATTGTCCCCCCTCAGCAACACCTGAGGCTCTGTCCTCCTGGATGGAATTCCTTAGAAATTTAAAATTCAAATAGATTTTTTGGCCGGAGATTTCTACATTGACTGGGGTAAGTCGACCCCCCTCTGTGATAAATTCAAGGAATGTTGCCTGTCTCTCAATCTAATCCAAATGATCAACTCTCCGACTAGACCAAACAAAAAC